ACATACATACTTTGGCCTTGAACCATGATTCTCCAAAAATTTGAACATTTCTGAAATGTGAAGATGCATAATGAAGGGTGAACATTCATACTCTTTTTCCATTCATGCTCATGGCCAGGATTTCAGTATTGCCTAAAATATCCAGGTTTTGGCTTTGTTTTCCTGTTTTCATACTTGCTGTAGGTAATGATCGATATATATATATATACACATACATACTTTGGCCTTGAACCATGATTCTCCAAAAATTTGAACATTTCTGAAATGTGAAGATGCATAATGAAGGGTGAACATTCATACTCTTTTTCCATTCATGCTCATGGCCAGGATTTCAGTATTGCCTAAAATATCCAGGTTTTGGCTTTGTTTTCCTGTTTTCATACTTGCTGTAGGTAATGATCGAAAAGTAGCATGTAACATGCATTGTACATAACCAATCATGGCACATGAGAGGGTGAGATCTATAGAAAACGGTCTGCGCAGCGCTGTTTCAAGTCGAAAGCAAGTATGAAAACAGAAAAAACAAAAACAAAACCGGGATATTTTAGACAATATGAAATCCTGGCCAGGACATGTCTTGGGAAAAAGAGCACGTATGGTCACCCTATATAATGAACTGAAGTATCACAAATATTTCCAGATGACACTAACGTGACTGAATTTTGAAAAGTCGCCAATGAACTGCCAGCCTATGCAGGCAGAATTACATGTTTTACTAGAGATGGACACTCTATCTGTGCTATGGCACAAGTGTAGACGTGATAATATCTAAATGATGCTCTGCTCGCTCTGGAAACAAGCCATTAGCTCTAAAACAGAGCTATCCTGTAACGAAAACAAACTGCAAAATTTGGGCTACTTCAGGCATCCATCTAATCAGCATCAAAAATAACACCCATTCCTGGCAGGCACGCTTCCCTGCCAAAACTTAAAATTGGAGAATTCTGTTTCAGTCAACACTGTTGTTTGTTAGATGATGACATTACTTGAAAATCCAGAATTTATAAAGGAGTGCTGCCCTAACAGGCCTGTGGAGGGACCTGAATGAGAACAGCAAGATTCATGTTATCCCCTGTTGTTTGGGTGCCCCAAGACTTACAGAATGTCCAACCACAAAAAACAGCTAAATTTGGGCTACTTCAGGCATCCATCTAATCAGCATCAAAAATAACACCCATTCCTGGCAGGCACGCTTCCCTGCCAAAACTTAAAATTGGAGAATTCTGTTTCAGTCAACACTGTTGTTTGTTAGATGACATTACTTGAAAATCCAGAATTTATAAAGGAGTGCTGCCCTAACAGGCCTGTGGAGGGACCTGAATGAGAACAGCAAGATTCATGTTATCCCCTGTTGTTTGGGTGCCCCAAGACTTACAGAATGTCCAACCACAAAAAACAGCCAGTGGGGATGTTAGGTACACTATCATTTGGGTTGTTCAAACACATGCAAACACACCCACTTTCAACACATCTGTCAATTAATCACAGTAGAGTTGTAAAGTAGTGTGTAAAGTCCTGTTGAGTATGTATCAGTATTGACTGCCAAAGATGGAAAATGTGGCAAATTTATTAGCTTGTAAACTTTGACAAGCATGTTTTCCTAACCCGCAAGAGTGCTGAATTCACAAATCCACCAAAGAATGAAGTAAGAACAGAAGGCTCTGTATTTCCTGTAGCTGTGAGCATGTGTGGAAACAGTCGTTTTAATCTAGACTGACAGTTACTCCAAAACTGACAATTAAATGATGTTGCAAAACCTAAAGAGCTGTCTACTTAAAAATTATGTTATGTTCTAAGATACCTCATTTTGAGCTGAATCTAAGACAGCTTTGCTGTATCTTTAAGAGAGATGGCAATTCCAGAATGCATTGCAACAAGCATGGTGGAAGAGTTACAATACAATACAATACAAATTTCATTTCTATAGCACATTTAAAACAACTGCCGTTGACCAAAGTGCTTTCCAGCATCATTACATACCATCACACAAACAAAAATTTAAATAAAAAATAAAATTCTGATAACTCTAATCAATTTTAAAAGCTATACTAAAAAGATACAATTTCAATCTAGACTTAAAAGCATCCACAAATGGGGAAGATTTAATGTGCACTGGCAGAGGGTTCCATAATCGTGAGGCAGCCACTGAAAAAGCCCTATCACCCTTTGATTTTAATCTAGTTTTAGGAACATGAAGAATCATCTGACTTGAGGATCTCATATTTCTTGTATTTTGATAAGGAATCAAAAGGTCAACAATATATTTTGGAGCAATACCATGCAGCGCTTTAAAAACCATCAAGAGCACCTTAAACTCAATTCTAAATTTTATAGGCAACCAGTCTGAAGAAACCAGAACTGGGGTTAATTCTCTCCTTCCTCTTTGTGCAAGTCAAAAGTCTAGGAGCAGCATTTTGTACTAATTGAAGACAAGATAATTGACCCTGTGAAATACCTAGGTATATATAAAGAATTACAATAATCAATGCGTGATGATAGAAAAACATGAATAAAAGTCTCCAGGTCCTTAAACGAGAGAACTGATTTCATCTTAGAAATGATTCTTATGAGTTGATAAAATGTAGCCTTTACAACACTAGTAACCTGTTTATCTAAAACTAAAGCCGAATCCATTATAACGCCCAGATTCTTAACATGATCTGAAACACTTAACCTCATAGAGGCCAGCCTACTTATAATTTCCTTGGAAGAAGAAGAGGGTCCAAAGACAACACACTCATTAGTATTAAGATGAAGAAAATTGCTTGCCAACCAGGCTCTAATCTCACCTAAACACTGAACAAGTCCTTCAAAGGATTGAGAGCCATTTTGATCTATTGGAAAATATAACTGGGTGTCATCTGCATATAGATTATACATAATATTTTATTTACGAAAAATTAGCCCAAGGGGCCCATATATAATGAAAATAAAATAGTCCCAAGTATAGACCCCTGTGGCACACCACTATGTAATTTAGCTGATCAAGAACACAAATCTCCAAGGCAAACTGAGAATGACCTATCTTTTAAATATGATTTAAACAAATATACGGCAGTACCCCTAATACCAACATCTTCCAAATGCTGCAATAAAATATCAACGGTATCAAATGCAGTTGTGAAATTGTAGTTATAAGGATAACTACCTTTCCAGAATCAACTGTGAATAAAATATCATTAAAAACCTTATGAAGGGCAGATTCTGTACTATGGAGAGACCTAAAACCTGACTGGAACATATCTATAACAGCATTCAAATCTAAATATGAAGCAAGTTGAGATAGAACCACCTTCTCCAAAACCTTCGATAAGAAAGGTAGTTTCGATATAAGTCAATAATTTCTTAAAACTGTACAATCTAAATTTAATCTAAACTGACTAGTTGAGAGAAAATTATTAATATATGTTATTTAGGGCTGTCACAATATTAGCTTTTAGATAATAGTGGCTCCCGATAGAACTCACGATACTGACATTATCACAATATCTATAGAAATTTCGAGAGAAAAAAAATCAGTCAAATTCATCTTTAACTTATTTTGTTTTCTTTTTTTCTGCCAATTTAATCACACTCAAAACATAAACGCAGAGAGATGAAGAGGGAGTTTAGCACTGGATTATTTATGATACTATCAAATGTGTAATATTTACATGAAAACAATATTTAATTTTTTTAATATCATGGTTATCGGTATGTTGCGACACCTCAAATATCACTCAATAGCAAAATTTATTAAAACTGGACAATTCACCCAGCATTTGTGTGTGTTATGTAAGCTTTTTAGATAATCAACTTGTTTCCTTAGAATCATGCTAGTAGTGTAAATCAATTAGAGAAAAATACAGATTAGAAATAAACATATCAATATACTTACATTTTAATATTAATTAGTGAGAAGTATCGATAAAAATAGTTAAATCTAATAAAAATGTACTAGTTTACCCAATATTTGAGTCTTGTCTTTTCTACATTTATTAGAGTATCAAGGCATTAACTTCGCAACAAGCTAACAAGTGGTCACTTATGATGTATTTTTTAGGATGCTGCCTTAGCATATAACAATTAAAAATTATGATTATCTGAGGATTTTTCTTTCGTATAAATCAGAACCTAAATTACATCTGGTTTCACTATTTGGTTTGACCCAAAAGGCCAAAACAACAGGTTGTAAAAGCTTTGATTTTGTTGGCACAGAGTGATTACACTATTGCACAGAGCACAGGCATTATGGGAAAAACACTGGCAAATCGACTCAAATATTGCTATTGAGTATGTGGAGTTTATATCTGTAAGGCTGATTTTGGGCAGACAAAGAAAGAAAGCAGATCCTGACTGATGCTTATCTGAGAAGACATTTCCCTTTCAGGAAACACCATCACATTAACGCCACTGCCTGCTTCCTTTCAGTCCATGAGCAATAAACACCTAGCTCAAAATAACAAACCCATACACGGATGCTTGGCGCATGCATGCACATGCATTCATATCCACTGGCACGCTACCAAATAGTCCCACCTACCCTGATCACAGTTCTTGCCGCCCCGACCTTCAGGACAGTCACAAAAATAGGTGTTCCACTTATTTTCACACTGAGCCCCATGCTGACACAAACCCTCATAGCAGAAGTTCTTCTTTGCTGGACAACCTGACAATAAATAAATGCATTGGTTTTTGAGTTACAACAATCTAAAAACAAGTTCACAATGCCCACTATGATTTTGAATTGTTATGGTTTGTGTCAGACCTTCAGTGGTGCCATTGTTGGCGATGTAACTGGCCATGTCTATGGATTTACTGTCAATCATCAGGTTCCTCATGCAACCCACAAAGTCCCGGTTCCATATGGGGAAATCTTCTGGAAGGTTGGGCACCCCACCAAGCAGAAGAGGCCCAGTGAGATCCAAAGACCTAAAGAGGGGAAAAAAAAACTTTGAAATGTGCCACCAAACTCTCCAACAAGTTAATGGCAATCTAGTGAGCTGTCCTGCATGTATACTTTGGTTTTCATGCTAGTATATGTGTACAGTGCGAATCAGTACAGTACGCACGATTTTTCATGTGCCTTTTTACTAATTAGTTGGTCCACAAGTTGGTAAGGTGGCCCAAGAACAACAAAAACAAACGGCTGGAAACAACAGCAACAACAAATTGGCAAGCACTTGTGTGAGGGGGTTAAGAGGTACTCGTAACTCTACTTTAAAATACATTTTACAAAGACTTCAAAGACATTTTTATCTTTCGTAACTTTGTGAGAGAAATAATCACAGACACTTGACAAAGATGAACCTTTCTAGTGCAAATTTGTCAGGTGCCTCTGTTCATAGACACTATCAAATGGCAGAGGTGGGGGCAAGTCACACATGTAATCAAGTCAAGTCTCAAGTCACTGGATCTCAAGTCCAAGTCAAGTCATTTTCTTTATTTAGTCAAGCAAGTCACAAGTCCTTAAATTTGTGACTCGAGTCCCCCACCTCTGTCAAATGGTGCATATTTTAAAAGGCTATGCATTCGGTTGTGTGCATACGCTAAAGCTCAAATTATACTTGAGTTTTTATGCATACGTTAGGGTATACGTGCAGTGCTTGTGACATGATTTTCATCATCAGCATAGTACTTGCACAAACAGATTTTTCTAACCGCGCAAAACTCTGTACACACACACTTTTGATCATGTATTAGTAAATGTCGAACAGTAATATTGTGAAACATTATTACAATTTAAAATAACCGTTTTCTGTATTTTAAATATTTTAAAATGTAATTTTAAACAGTTGCCACATGATCCTTCAGCAACAATTCTAATATGCTGGTTGGTGCTCAAAAAACATTATTATCCCAGATGAAGACATTTGCTGCGTAATATATGGAAGCCGTGAGCTGTGATTTTTTTTTCGTCTATTCTGTCACTTTTGTTCAATTTAATGTGTCCTTGCTAAAAGTATTTCTTTTAAATTAAAAAAAAGTAAATCTCATTGACCCCAAACTTTTGAATGGTAATGTATATAATAGTATTTTGTTGGCAATATCAAATTCACCAACAACATAAACATTTATATGACCAATAAGTTTCATATAGATTCCAACAGTAACATTTTGAGCATTAGTGTATGATGTAAATTATCATAAAACAATAAGATTACCACAGTACTTTCTCATATTTGACCCCATCTGATATCCTTTAATATCACAGCATGATAAAAAGCTTTATAAGAAAGAAGACAGGTGAAAGAGGGCATGACTCCTAGCCAGTCTGTCAATCACTGTGTCCATGACAACACAGCCATAGGGAATGGAATGTTGCCATGCAGTATAAAACAGGTCGGTGCTTATCAGACTAGAGCTACGGGTTAAACCTTCACATTTATCTGTTGTTCTTTCTTTGAAGTGTTTTAATGCACAGCCGTGTTTCAGCATGCAACAACATCTGATGCTGCAATTGCCACCTAAATTATGAGAAGATCTTTCACGAATGAAAGATTTTTGGACGTGTGTCCTGAAGGACTCTGAATGGGTGTGAGAGAGTAAACAAAATTGCAATTGTGAACAATTACCAAAGACTAATTATCATGAGAATGAGTTCTTGTTTGATTTACACAGAGAGAGGGATCAACTCACTTCTTCTGTCCCGTCTGGGTGCCCTGGGCAGCGCAGGAGTAGTTGCCGATCTGACTGCTGAACCGCACGGCCATGGCGATGTCACAGTCGTCCACCGCGACTACTGCCACCTTCTCACCCGACGGACCTTGAGGCAACCCCAAATGACTTATCTTAGGCTGAAAAGAGAAGAAATGGAAATGAGTTACAGATTAAAGTCGTCACCTTTATTTATATAGCGCTTTATACAATACAGATTGTCAAAGCAGCTTAACAGTGTTAAACTTGTGCTGATAATGCAAGAGGAACTAAATTAAAACTAAACAGCATGAGCACAGGTTCACAGAAGCACATTTTGAAACTATATTTTTACACTTTTTGAAGACAATGAGTGTTGTTTGTTCTTGCAAAACTAGCAAGACTTTTTTCATCCACTTGTGCGTAAATGTATTGAAAATGCAATTGTACTGTACTTCATCTTAAAAGTATCATTTTAAAACTGTACTTGCAGATAATATAATATTAATGAAATAAAAGGCCACTTAAGTACACTTTCATGACTGTTCGGCATATGTTTAAAGAGTGCATTTTGTAATAAAGTTTTACTATAAAATTTTTATTTATTATGATTTAATAATGCTTTGTCATGCTTTAAAGATAATTTTAGATTTTTAATTACTATTTGGAGCATTGGGTCCGAGAGCCCATTTCTCTCCAAAATGATGCCAGTTTTAGCGTTTTGCATTAAGAAATAAGAATAACTAAACTTGATAATTTATGTTACAATTTTAACATAAATGCACATTGTTCTAGAAGGATGGTATCATGCCATACCTTTTACACATTTACTCGAATTGTTATGCTGATAATACAATTTGTAAGGAAAAATGCATTAAATAGCGAAGTATTTCTGGGGAAACTTTTTCAAAGGAAAACACACACACACACACACGCATGTCTCTTTGCTGAGCCGTGGCGGTCTCGGTGAATCAGCAGCATCCACAACTGAACGGAACAAAAAGTGTTGAACTTGAAAATTGTTTATGCGCGAGTGCACTTCCTAAATGAAGGTGGATTGTACAGGGCTCTACGCTTATTATTCTTTTTAGGAGTGCTTGTGCTCCTAACTTAAAAAATTTAAGTTTAAGCACCAAAATTTGATCAATAAATAGCCTTCCCATTATGAGGTGATATTTGACTCCTTAAAGTGATTTACAGTAGAATTTAGTTTTTACCTTTGTAGTGGCATTTTTCTATCTTTATTAAAAGTGTCATCTTTTGTCAAATTTTTTAAAAAATTATATTTTATAAGCTTTTTAAAAATTGTAGATAAAACCATAGAATAAGAACAAGTACAATAAGAAGAATAAGTTACTAATCAAATGAAATCAATATTAAAATTTATTTGTACAGAGGTAGCACAGAAGAACACAAAAGTGGCTTGTAGGTGTACTTTCAGACATTTAATGAGGATCAGAGGTGGCATGAGTGCAATTAAATCCATACATTCATGTTAAGATTAATGTTTAAAAAAAATCTTGAATATAGAAATATTAAATGATTTAAAGAACTGAACAGATACTTTAAAAATGAAACGCAATCCTCCAGCAGGTGGCGACAAGTCACTTAATTTATCACTGAATCATTCATTCAATTGATTCATTCGAACGGCTGATTCATTCAGGAATGAAGCAAGTGACAGTATTTATGAATGGGTAATCATGAATCACTGACTAGCAAGATTAGTTTAAAAATGCAGTTCATTCATAAACGAAACACCGCTGTGTTTGAATGGAGATGCGCAGCGGCTCCGCTGCGATTTTGTTTCAAACTATTTTCGACGACGAAATAGAGCAAAATCAGACAATAGTGTTATAGTCAGACAATGTAAGTCACTTAATATTAACTTCTTGTCTATTTAACTGTTGTATTAAATCAGTATCACATTTACAAACTCCCTTAAAAATCATTAAAAGCTGTCACTCATCTTAGCTCATCGGTATCTCACATTTATAATAAACAAAGCTCTCTACGCTGCACAATGAATCTTTTATTTACACCCACTTTGCTTATGAAAGGATTCGTGAGATATGTCTGATACATTACTCAACGCTGCAAAAACACATAGAAACCTTTGATGAAGATCTGGTCAGTCGCACTGGTGCTCCTAAATATTTTTTAGCAAATGCGACTGAAATGGTCGCACTGTAGAGCCCTGTTGTATAAAATGGATTAAAAAAAAACCTTTATTAACGCGCTGCAGTTTTATTACATCACGCGCTGGCACAGATGCAGTATATTAATGCCATGGGTCATCAATAAAGTGCAGATTTGGTCCTCAATTTGTGTTTCCAACACACTTTTTCACAGCGCGCATCACGCGCTCAAACTCATCAAAAGTCAACAAGTACAACAAGCAACAACAACAACGACTTATTCAAGTGACTGCTGCAGAACGCACGCGAGAGAGAGACGAGGCTGTCTCATAAGTGAGCGGGAATTTACCGAACGTGACACTTGCAGGAGTTAACACTGTACGCAATACCCGCAACCTCACACCAAATTTCAGGCCGTGTAGATAGGCAAGCATATATACAAATCATTTAGTAAGCAGAAATCCGAAATTTACCTTAACATATTAAGAATGCTCTTCCAGCAGCCATGATAAACAGTTGGCGGTTAAAGTTTTCTATGCACAATTTGATTTGACGAAAGTCACGAGAACTATTACTCTCTATCCAATCACGTTGATTGATAAAATTAAAATAAGCATGTAACGACCACAAACGGAGGAAAATAGCGGAGTAAAAGTACCGATACATCACTTAAAATGTACTCAAGTAAAAGTAAAAGTACACAATTTTTAAATTACTCAAAAAAGTACAATTACTGATAAAAACTACTTAATTACTGTAACGTGAGTATTTGTAATTCGTTACTTCACACCCTGCCTGTAGCTCAAAATTAGCCCATGCATTTTCCGACTCATTTTGCTAGCACGGGTCACAAATACTCACAAATACGGGTCACATAGCTAAAGTGCTAATTTAATTTTTTTCTACAAAAGTTCAAACTGCAAATAATCCTTTACATCACAAGCCGTTTCAGATTCTTGCCTTTTTCTTTTTATTCTCGTCTCGACACCAGGCTCTTAAAATGTACTCATCTGATTTATGCCATCTCAATATTTATAAAATTTGAATTATGTTTTAAAAATTATGTAAATTACAGACATGTTTCAGTTAATACCTTTTATGTAACCTGCAAGTGATGAATTTCTTTTTTCGTAGCGACTGGATCAAATCTTGAACCTATTCAAGGAACCTGTTCAAGATAAGGTTTCTTTATGTTCCAGCAAAATTTGAGGTTTATGGCCTGTAATACTTCTGCTAAATCTCATTTCATAATTATGTTGATAATATAAAGACGATTCTGGATGTTTACAGAATCCTGCGCGCACACGCATGAATTCATGCGCTCACAGATCAAAGCTGTTTACAGGAGATATATCTATGTGCCATGTGTTGGCTCTAAACACCTAGCTCAGGGCAGATGTGGGCCATCTGTCTGACTGTGTAACGCATGGCATGAAAGTGACAGTCGGAAAGAAAAGTTTTGTTGTGTGTAAGATTTCACTCACAGCATGGCACACTTTAATGCACAGCAGCTTTATCTAAACTATCACTGCCACTCCTACAGAAAAGACTCTTTCCTACGGCAAAAGCACTCCCACTTTCCATTAGGTGCCGTCTAAACATGGTACAAATCGAGTCTATTTTTCTTTTTGCCTTCCTGTTGCTAAATATGAATATCTCTCTCAGCATTTGCTTCAACCACTGACACACAAAGTCCCTGGGGTTGATTTTTTATTAATACTAACAGATTTCAACTTATTTATAATCATTATAACTTATAATCATTTTGAAGCTTTTTTTTTTTTTACTGTCCCATCATTTATTTTTGCAACTTTTTAAATGCCTTTTATTTATAGATTTTATGGTTACCCTTGTTCTAGACCAAAACTTTCATCTTAAACTAGAAAAATGCATAATTTATTAAACAAACAAACAAACAAACGAGTGAGTGAGTGAGTGAGTGAGTGAGTGAGTGAGTGAGTGAACGAGTGAGTGAGTGAGTGAGTGAGTGAGTGAGTGAGTGAGTGAGTGAGTGAGTGAGTGAGTGAGTGAAATAAACAGAATAGCGAAGCACGCAGAGTCGGCTCTCGAGGGAGCTGACTGCATGCATTGCGAGCATCTGCCGGCTCTGCTCGGGAAGGCTCTCTTGAGGAAGGAGGCCATCGAGGTGGTCCCTCCTCATCTGCGTCAGTTGAACCGCTCAGTCATGCGACTGAAGTTCAGGATGCTCACTATCAAGCAGGTCATGTCTCAGATCAGATCCAAGGATTGGTTTGTCACGATCGATCTAAAAAACGCATACTTCCATATCTCCATCCTTCCTCATCACAGGAAGTTCCTGAGGTTTGCTTTCGTGGGCAAAGCTTACCAATATCGAGTTCTTCCTTTCAGCCTTGCACTCTCACCCCGCACTTTCACGAAGTGTGTGGATGCTTCTCTGGCTCCGCTGCGACTCCAGGGCATCTGCATACTGAATTATATTGACGATTGGTTGATACTAGCTCAATCGGAGCAGGTGGCGGTTTGGCATCGAGATGTCGTTCTCAGCCACATAAAAGAGCTGTGGTTAAGACTAAACGCCAAGAAAAGTGTGCTTTCTCCATTACAGATGACCACTTATCTGGGCATGGTGTCGGATTTGACCACGATGCAGGCACGTTTGTCCCCTGCACGGATCGAGTCGATACTCACTGCAGTTGCGAGAGTAAGAGAAGGCCGGTCATGCTGGGCATCTCAATATGGGAGCAGACATCCTGTCGAGGCAGAGGTCGAGGCCTGGGGAATGGAGGCTTCACCCCGAGGTGGTGAAGCAGATATGGAGTTTTTGGCCAGGTTCAGGTGGACCTCGTTTGCGACTCGAGAGACATCGCACTGTCCCCTCTGGTTCTCTCTGACTCATCCAGCTCCACTGGGGCTGGATGCCATGGTA